ATTTTAGGGAAGGGTCTACAGGGTGTTCAGGATCTCACTACTAGATGGGACTTGTAGTGACCCATCTGTTTACAGCCTCCCAAGAGCTGGGATTATAGGTGAGAGCCACCACGCCCAGTCTCAAGGGGCTGGCTACAACAGGTCTGGGGATCAGACACCCCCTCCTCCCCTCTGCTCCCACCTGCTTGCAGGCACTTTAATCCGCTGAGCTATTTGGCCGGCCCTAAGCAATTTTTTAAAAAATCACATATTTGACTGGAAATGAAGTTCATTGGTATAGTGTGTACTTGGCTTGTTTGAGGTCTGGAGGCCTCCTGGAGGTCAATCACTAGCACTCAGAAAAAATAAAAATTAAGATGCTTTATTCCAGAATTGTGGGGAACTGAGGCAGCTGGATCACAAATCCAAGTTTAGCCTGGACAATTCAGCAACTTACTGAGATGCCATCTCAAGATAAAAAACAAAAAAGGGCTTGAGGGTAGCGTAGTACAAGGCCCTGGGTTCCAACCACAAAGACAGGTTTACACAACAAAACAGACATGGATTTATTTTTATTTATTTATTCATTTATTTAGCGGTACCGGGGATTGAACTCAGGACCTTGCACTTGCCAGGCAAGTGCTTATTCTACTGAGCTATCTCCCCGGCCCTGAGACATGGATTTAAATAATAAAGTGTTTTTTAAAATATGTATAGATTGGGTGTAGTGGCACACACCTGTAATCCTGGCGCTTGGGAGGCTGAGGCAGGAAGATCACTGAAAGTTCGAGGCCAACCTGAACCATATAGCAAGACCCTGCCTTGTAAGTAAATAAATAAATGTGTACACAGATAAGGACAGACCTGGCAAGAAATCTGGCAAAACTGCAAACTACTTTTCCTTATTTGGACTCCATCTGAGGGATGAATGTGCTTTGTGATAGACCCTTGGCATTTAGGAACCTTCAAGTCCTCTCTGCACTCCAGTAGCAGTTAGAGCAAGGACTGAGGAACGCCTAAGGCGAAGGGGCCCCTTCCCAGCCTACCTTGTGTACCATAAACCCCTCCTCTGAGGGCAGCCCTGGGGCCAGGCACGCCATCTCCACGCCAGAGGCACCCGTGCCAGCCCCCTTAGGTGCCAGCACTCCCTTCCCGAGCTCCAGCCTCATCAGACCCACACTTTTTCCTTCACTTCCCATAGCTTTGACTCCTTGAACTCCTAGGTCCTAGACGCAGAAGAAATAATTTTCCGCCAGCTGAGAGGGCTAAGTCCAAGAGACAACAGGTAATGGCTCAAGACTTGTGAAACTCTTGGTCCTAGGAGTGCAGCTTAGGGCCACTAACACCAGCATGCACCTTGCTGTTCCTAATGTCACAGGAGGCGTGGGAAGGGCAGGAGAGCGGCTTCTGTGCTGGTGGAGACCTCCAGCCTCCCAGCCAGAAGCCCCACCCCATGGAGCGGAGCAGCCTCCAGCCTTGAGAGAAAGGGCTCCTCGGCTGGCTTTGGCGGCACCTCCTACATGGGGCAAGGGGCGCCTTCCAGAAACAGCCTCCAGGCAAGCTTGGGCAACCCAGCCTTTGTCTTAGTATTTGCTAAATCCAAATAGGCTTTATAGCAAGGGCTATGGTGTGACACAGTTTTTGAATTTGAGAATCACAGACTTTCTTTTTTCTTTTCATTTCTTTCTTTCTTTCTGTCTGTCTGTCTTTTTTTTTTTTTTTTGAGACAGGATCTCACTATGTAGTTCAGTGTAGCCTCGAACTCATTGTGTAGCCCAGGCTGGCCTCAAACTCACTGTGGTCCTCCTGCCTCAGCCTCCCAAGTGGGACTGCAATTACCGGTGTGTTCCACCACACCTGGTTTGAGAATCACAGACTTTCATGCTTATCCTGTGTTACGGCTTAAGGTGGATACTTCCAGCTTACACTGAAGCTTCACACCCTTACCAAAACCCTAAAAGGGTATTGTAACATGTGACGCTGAAGAATGAGGAGTGATTTAATCTGGCCATTGTACTGAAGCTGTTCTGACAGGGAAATTTCATTTTGAAACTGGCACTTGTGTTGATTACATGGTCTGCTCAAGATACAAATTCAGGGCTGGGGAGATGGCTCAGTGGAATAAGCGCTTCCCTGGCAAGCACAAGGGCCTGAGTTCAATCCCCGGTTCCAGGAAAAAAAAAAAGATACGAATTCAGTAGACTTCTAAAATCACAAAGGCCCATCTCCTGTATCTCCAGGAGGATGGTTGGACAACCGATTCCTCTTCCTTTTCTCCTTCCAACCTTTCAACAGAATCCACCCCACCCCAATGAACACAGGCAAAGATGTGTCACATAAAAAGTGTATTGCAAATTCAGACGTGGAGCCTTGGTCAGGCATGACAATGGGTGAAGTGCTCTGGGTTGGGTAGGGAGAGCGAGGGCATGGTGAGCGTGAAGACAGAGGGCTGAGGGGAGATGGCAGTCACCGCCCAGGTGACCAGGTTGCTCAGCTAAACTTCCAGGCATGAAGGAGTGGGCCAGGCCGGGAGCCTGGCTGGCTGTGACAGCCCCCAGGCCCTCCTTCTGCCTCAGGCATGCTCTTGTGATGTGAATGAGGTGTAGAGAGGCAGAAGCCTCTAGCTCCTGCTTCTGTGTGGCTCCAGGCTCATCTGTGGCTGGGAGAGCCTTCCAGGCTCTGGCCCTCAGGGCAGAAGCTTCAGGCAGGCAGAGAGGAGGGAGGGGGCCCTGGCCGGGGCGGGCTGTGCCTCCTCAGTGGTGGTGTCATCCAGGAGCTGTTCCATGTAGCAGGAGGTGCCAAGCAGCACATGGCCCGTGGCTCGCATGCTGAAGAGGGCCCAGCGGAGCACTTCCCTGGTGGGGCACCCCGGTGAAAACCAGAAGACACCCCATACCCCTAGAGTCCCACGCTGGCCTGGATGAACTAGTTTCAAGTTAGCATCATTTTGAGTTTGGTTTTGTTTTTTTGAGACAAAGTCTTGCTGTGTAGGTCAGGTCAGCCTTGAATTTACTATGTAAAGCGCCAGATAGATGGCTCAGTAGAATAAGCGCCTGCCTGGCAAGTGCAGGGTCCTGAGTTCAATCCCCGGTACCACAAAAAAAAAAAAAAAAGAAAAGAAAAGAAAAAAAGAAAAAGAAAGAAAAGAAAAGTACTGTGTGGCTCAGTCTGGCCTAGAACACGTGATCCTCTTGCCTCAGCCTTCTGAGTATGAGGATAGAGATTATAGGTATGTGCCACCATGCCCGGCTCAAGCTTAGCAGGTACTCTATCACTAAGAGACAACCCCAGCCCTGTATTTTTCTTAATATTCCTTTGGGCCACCAGGCTTGTCTATACCATGTGGTTCATGACATTGTGCTCCTGGCTTATGTATTTCCACATCTCCCAGGGATGTGTATGAGAGCAGAGACCCTGAGCCAGACAGCCCAAGCGAGAGCCCAGGCTCTGCAGTACCAGGGCTTGACCATACTAGGTAAGCACCATATCCTAGCTCTAGCAGCTACATCAAGTCTTGTTGAGGAGGTGAGCCTTAGCAAGCGGCTTAAATTCTTGTTTAAATCCTACATTTATTTTACTTTACTGTCTTTTTGAGACAGGGTCTTGTTATGCAGTTCAACCTGATCTTGGGCTCACTTTCTGGTCCGGGCTGGTCTCAAACTCATAACAGTCCTTCTGCCTCAGCCTCCTGAGTGCTGGGACTACAGGCCTGCATCACCACACCTGGCTTTTTTTACCTAAATTTCTCAGCTTCCTTGCATGTAAAATGGGTTATGAGGTTGAGATAGCACAAAGAACTTAGCTTGCAGCCTGAGGTATAGAAAGTGGGGCAAAAGCTGGGCGTGGTGGCGCAGGCCTGTAATCTCAGCACTCAGGAGGCTAAGGCAAGAGGATCATTGTGAATTTGAGACCAACCTGGGCGACAAAGTGAGCTTGAGGCCAGCCTGAACTGCATGGTAAGACTCTGTTTCAAAACTACAAAAAATAAAAACTAAAAATAAATAAAAGAGCGAGAGAAAATAGGGCGTTGGTAGTCAAGAACAGCTGGATGAATGTGAGGCACCTTTACCCGAGTTCCTACCAAGTCTGTTGCAAAGTCATGGGGGAGGGTCACTAGAGATGTCCAGGCCTGGAGAGTAGGGAGAAGAAATGCTACAGGGAAAGAAATCTTCCTGGTTTCTTTTTTCTTTTGCAGCACTGG